TTGGTAAAAAATATTCCAAGAATTGGCGGTAGGTGATGTTGATTAGATGCCTTCCATCTAGTCTCTACTTTCAAAATAATGGCAGTCCGGCGCAGATAGCCGACTGGAAATTTTGAGCGAAAGTCAACAAAACAAACAAATTTAACAAGTCGTCCACTGTTTATGTTACTAAAGAACTACTCCTAAAGGATACCAGAAAGATGGAACTGTTATAAATGCGGGAAACTTGGCCATTATAGCCGAGATTCTAAGGAACCAACAGCTGTTAATATACCACGGAACCAATACCCAAAGGATGAGTCTTCGAGCCCAACCACACCAAAAATAACAATAAATGGCTTACTAAACATCGGGAAACAGGAATTAGCTGACATTTGGGGTGAAGTACAGTTGAGAATACCCGTCTGCCTCAAAAGGATGAGTTCAATCCACAAGTCTATGGGGTTATTGATGGAAAGCCTTGCATTATATTGACCAACACTTGTTGGTAAATTGAAATAATTAAACTTAATTTGATAAGGAAAAAAAAAAGTCAAATCGATAAACCTATTGAGTCGTGGACAAGTTCTCTTAACTAGTACAAACTGAATGAAAACTGTTGGTAAGTTAGTAAATCATTTCTGTGCATCGTTGCTTTCTTTGCTATACTCTTCTCAGTACAATCTTACATTATAAAACCATCAGTACAAACACACAGTTATTTATATCCTACATCCAGTCAACCAACACACATGAAACACGACATCCGAAAACCTCAAATTATGAGATTGTGAAAACCGTGTACGTCTGCGTACTTACAACGCTAGAAACGGGGTTTCGATATCCGTGGTGAGAAGACACAGATAGCCCATCCTATGGCTTTGCTTTCAACTATAAACAAACATAAAATAATATCTGAACTTAGAACCATCCAAAATATTTTGGGATGTTTTACTGCTTGTTCATACAGCTCATAATGCGAAGTTAAAAGCATTTAAACAAAATCATATGTGTAAATACGCATGTCTCTATGTATATATATATATATATATATTACGTGCACATCTACCTAGATGGCGGGGAGTCTAGGTCCCCCGAGAAGAAGAAAAAAATCTGGTAAATCAATGCCGCATATTTAAAAAAAAATATCACTAAGGCACTCTTCTAAGCTGCACTGTAGCCTTTCACATTTTCTGGGCCGTTGCAGAAGGAGAACGATTCTTTAATATGTGGAAAACGATGAAAAATTATCTGTCTTTCACTATTGCTCGATACAGACTGGTAGATCTGGAAATTGAAAATTTCTAAGTCAGCGGGGTACACATTTTCGTGGCATTTGTTTTATATAGGACAATATATCTATGTCTAAAGTACATTATGGGACATTGTACGGTTAAAATTAGTTATTTACAATTAATAATGGTACACAATAAAGAAGTTTCATAACTTTTTCACGTAAAAACAAATATATATATATATATATATATGGTGATAAAAATGACATCATGATTATTGATATTCAATACAAAATATATTTCGTATAAAAAGAACTTTGATTTCTGAAAAGAAAAACAAGATAATAAACCTTTTTCCATATGGAATTACGCCCTGTTATGCACTTTAGGTAATGTGTGTAGATAATGTCGAATAATTTTAGTTTCCACTGTGAACTGTGACACTTTTAATTAATCATTTTGCCAGTAGACCGGGAAAGTGAGCTCTCAACTGATACAATTGATGTTACATTTAAGGTACATGTTGTTGACCTCACCTGGGCAAAGACTTTGCATAAAACATGCAGATTAATATAATGGTTAGAACGAAGTTTGTATTTATAAACAAAGCTACACAATGGGCTATCTGTGCTCTGCCCACCATGGTATCGAAACCCGGTTTCTAGCATTGTAAATCCGCAGACATACCACTGTGGGCAAAGTTTGTATGTATGTATATATACACCTGGAAAAAAGTTAAGCACCCCCAAATATTTTTCAGGATTGCTTATTGAAAAT